GGCCATGAGTGAAGGGAAGAGACTGCAAAAGTGGAAGAGAGATTTACAGGGTGACGGAAATGCTTTATAATTTGAATGATCAGTGGTCATATAACTGTATATACAGTTGTTAAAACGCATCAGACTCGTGAACTTAAATTGTAAGATTTTATAAAAAACTATCTCAAATAAAAATTTTTAAATACAGACCTTATAAAACTAGAACTTGGGGAAGAAAAATACTGAAATATATGGACATGATACATTTCTGTATAAACAATCAAGAAAATAAATCAACACAAAAATCTAATCTTACTCAATAGCTTATAATAACCATTCCTTTTAGATCATTATTTTTAAAATGTTTAAATATTTTTGTGTATGTAATACATGCATATATATGTCAGTGTGTATACATATAACATACAATATGACAGCAGAGTCTGCACTATTCTGTATTTTGTTATGTTATCTATATATGGTGGGGCTCTTTATACACACCAAAAAATGTATGGGGGGGCACCTGGGGAAGAGATAGCTATAAAATACTTCAAATAATATCACCATTTCCACCTTGGATCACTAAAATGGTACTTTAACAAATCTTACAAATTTACAAACTACATTCTCTAATATCTGAGATCACACATTTTTATCGCTCATGTCTGAAGTTAATTATTACTAATATTCTAGTAACCAGAAAGCAAAACCACAGAACATGTAATCTACATCTAGTATTATGACTAGCAGATTAACAATATATTTTCAAAAATCTTAAATACCATTAAAATGAAATTTATAAGCCAAGTAGTCATCCTTCCCTAATTGCAAAGTAAGGTGGGCCTTTGAGCTTATTTCATTGCTAATGGTCTCTTCTCAGGTTCTCCAAACTGAAAGATCTTTTCATCATCTTTTTACCCTTTTTTTTTTTTTTTTTCCCGGTACCGGGGATCGAACTCGGGTCCTTGCCCTTGCACAGCAGGCGACGAAACCACTGAGCTAAATCCCTGGCCCCTTTTTACCTTTTTTGCAAACAAAAGAGCGGTGACAGTCTTTTTTTGCAGGGGTGGTCTTTCTCGAAGAATAATGACTATATTGCAAGAGTCAAGGACAGCAAAAGGGTCCCAGTGTGTATCCCTACATAAAATCTTAGGTGAAAGAACACTCTTTTAACAATCCTAATAATTGCAGAACACAAGAACTCTCTCTTATTAAAGTTTGAAAAAAATAAATTCCACTATCTCCGACAGAAAAAAATCTTACCTTTTTCCCTAAATTTTCGATGTTGCTCACCAGCATTGCCACTCATTCAACAACTAAAGTTGCCTGTCTTTCACTCTTTGCTATTCCCTCATATTCATATTCAATACAATGTCAAGTATTACTAAAGTTATTTTCTTGATAACCTTCTAATATGTCTTCACTCTCCAAATGTCTCAATTCATCATTACAATTGCCTCTTATCTGGTCTTCCTACTTCATCTCACACTCAGCTTCCATATTTAAGTTTTCCAAAACAGGTGTGGTCATCTCATTTTGCCGCAACAAAGACCTTAATTAAATCTCTACACTTAGAAGAATCAAGTGTGAAACTTTTCACTGCCAGGAGGAAGGCAACATGGTATAGATAAATCCATATATAAGTCTTTGAGTTGATTGACCTTTGTTTAAAATCGAACTTTTAGCAAGTAATTCAAATGTCTCTGAAATTCCAGTTTCCTCCTTTCACTGAATATAGACCACCTATACCCTTGCAATTCAGTATGGTCTATCGTGAAAGGAGCATCAATGCTACCAGGTAACATGTCAGAAATGCATACCCACACAAACCTACTGATTCAAAATGTTTATAGAATTCCCACATGATTAAAGTTTGAGATTTACCATAGACTGTTGTATGAATTAGGCTGAATGTTTATGAAGTTCCCGGCCCAGAGTAGGTAGTCAATAAATGTTATCCTATTTTCTTTTCCCCTTTCCAACTCTTTGTTCATCCTGATCCTTTTGCCTGGAATATATTTTTCACCTCCCAAATTATTGAAATCTTGCTCATGCTTTAAGTATGACGATTAATGTTACTGTCTGTGTGAAGCCTTCTACATTCTTCATCAACCTGAGAAAACCTTAATTTCACTTGCTGATTTTCAAGTTTTATGCTGGTGAACATGTTTCCCTTGCTATATTACTTGTTTTATGATTAATTTCCTAAAACTTAACCAGTGCTATATGATTTGAAGATTCTCAATAATTAAGTTTACTAAAAACAGAAATAAAAAGAGCAGGTACATCTGTGAAATCAAATCATCTAATTATGTGTTAGGTACTGGTGTACCTTCTAGAGTTTTAAATATCAATTCTTATGAAGGACCATTTACTTTAGTTTGTTAGAGCAGGGATCAGTATACACAGGCATTTAAGTTGTCCTAAGAACTATATTCTGTGGTTACTGAATGTACTGTACACTTAATTAGAAGGCATTTTACAATTGTGCAACGTTTGATAATAGAAAGACAATATGGTTTGAACACAATTTAAAACATGAACTCTGAATTCTTACTTTTAAATACTTTGGAAAATTACTTAATCCCTATATGCTTCATTTTCCTTACACATAATTGTACTTACCTCAAACAGTGAGGCTATAAAGAATGAAAGAAATATATGTAAAGTGGTGAGAACAGAATCAAGAATATAATAACCACTCAATAAGGATAGCTATTATTATATTTTTTTTGGTACCGGAGATTGAACTCGGGACCTTGCGCTTGCGAGGCAGGCGGTGGAATCGAGCTAAATCCCCAGCCGAAGGATAGCTATTATTAACATAAACTATCCTCATTATTTTAAAAATGTGGGGCATTCATTGATGGGGGAATCATTTCTATTAACATGAAAGATATGACTCCCCCTTCATATGGTATCAAAATTATGATTTTTCAAGCGACGCTTTTCTTGAGAGATTCAAAATAATTTCCAAATATCACCCAACTAATTATTTTGGAGTCTTGGAAGTTAATCTGGAGCTGTACATGTACAAATAAGGAAAATGGATGACTGGTGAGCAAGCTGTCTAAGACAAGAGAGAAGGTAAAAAAAAGAATTTCTGACATAGTCTTCCCATCTCCCAGATGGGTCAGAGATTCATGAAGGCATTCTGTAAAATTCCAGAATTGAAGCTGCTCCCTTAAGATTTCCTTCCAATTAGAACCTGAAAAGGTCATCCACCTCTTGAGACTCCTTTTTCGTTGATCTGCTTCTAACAATGAGGGCTCAAATTCAGATTAAACAATTTGGAATTTTACATGGAGAATTACATATTGGAAATCATTCAAACTCAATGATTTGCCAGATCTGCAAACTGTGATTCAGAGAATTAAAGTCACTTAGCCAAAATCACCCACTACATAATATAGCTAATTCTATTATCCTGCAAAAAAAAAAAAAAAATCAGTGTGTATCTATATAAGTAAATGAATTAGTTGACATAAATCAGTAGGCAAAGTTAATTAGCTCAATATAGCCATTTTACATATGTAACATTTTAAAACATGTTATACATGATAAATACAATTTTTTATTAATTAAAAAACAATTAAAAATTCCAAAAATTGAAAATAACAGATTCACCAAAATATTGGTTAAGAGTTTCTAAGACTTCAAATAAAAAAGAAACATAACATTTAAGTCACATATTACATTTAAGTTTAAATACTGTCTTTAAATAAAAAGTTACAACCTACTTGCAAAGTGTGAAAAACCTCCATAATGTGTAATAAAAGGGAAACTAAAAGCAAAGATACTAAAAGATGCTTCTATAGACCTGCAAAAGTATTGTAGTTGTTCTTATTTTAGGTAACATTAACACAATTAAGTCACTGTTAAAACACTACAGGTTAGAGCCGGGGATATAGCTCAGTGGTTCTGGCGCCTGCCTTGCAAGCGTGAGGTCCGGAGTTCGATCCCCGGTACCAAAAAAAAAAAAAACCCAAACACTATAGATTATAGGTCATTTTCAAACTGCATGACATTTCTGTATTGGTAATTACTTTTAAATCAGAAGATAATGACAAACATTAATAAAGGACAAGGAAACACAACAGAAATAGATTAAGAATCTAAATTCAAATCTATTAATCTAAGAGACAATTTTTACAAGCAGAAAATTAAAAAATTTGCTTGAAGCAAATCCGAAACATATATATAACCAATTCACATAACCCATATAAAGAGTGCATAATAAATAAAAAACATACTAGTTCATCCACCAAGTCAAGATTAAAGCTATTTAGCTTAAATTATTTAAAAACTGCCATGACATAGGGCAGGAGATGAACAGATGGGAAACAAAGCCACTCCGAATTTTCAAATATTATGTCATATTTTCAAAACTGACTTACTTTTTTTGGAGACTATCCTCCTAGATTAAAATGGTAGTTTAAGTAGATTGGTCTCTGAAAAATACTAAGAATCTAAATGGAAGAGAACTCTGAAAGAGAAGGCAAAACATAGAGCACCTAGCTGTGTAAGGTGCGGAGCTGGGCTACTGCTGTGTCCCAACTTTTTGGTAAGGCACCTTCTCAGTGTCTTATGTCCTTCTACTCCTGACTTTCTTCTCTGATAACAATTAAGATTTCTATGTCCCCTTGGCTTTACAGATTCTTCTGTTTTTTAGGGATACATAGTGGTATTTTAATGCTGGGATAAGTGATATTTTCAATCTAGGATATACTGTAGGTTCCAATTAGATTCTGAAATTTCACTTTCCATTCACAGTCTATTCAAATACTTCCAAACATGCTCATAATCAGGACATGAATTACAGATGGATCCATGTGTTAAATCATTTTTTTTTTTTTTGGTACTGGGGATCGAACTCGGGTCCTTGCGCTTGCAAGGCAGGCAGCAGAACCACTGAGCTAAATCCCCGGCCCTGTTAACTCATTTTTAACATGTATAATTTATAGAGAAGCATTAGAACTATTAATTAGAAAAACTATTAATAGAAATAGCTTGCACAGTACCTTTTGATAAACAATGGAGCACACAAGATCCTTGACAGCAGATAAAGACAGTTCCTGGGCTTCAATGGTAACACTCTCCCGTGTGAGGCCAATCTGCAGCAGAAATGAAACTGTATGCACAGAGCCTCTGGAGTTGGTGAGAGACGGTGCGCTGCAGCTGCCATTAGAGAGTCGGGCAGAGAATCCGGTCTTAGGACTTGAACACGGAGAAGAAGTTGGAAGCACAGCAGGACTTGTTCCAGGTAATACAGACTTCTGGGCTGATGGAGGGGAATTATTTGCAGACATCTGCCTTTCTTTAACCTTTAAAAATAGCTGTCAATTCTTTTTAAATGGTTCTAAAGAGGTTTTCAAAATAAGAGCAGCACAAAAATGACTGCACTTTTGGATTTAGATGAAAGCTTATTTCCTGCATTAAGCCATTCATGCCAATGATTACAAATTCTGTCACTGTGGTCTGAACGAACAAAAGGTCCTACTTCTCTTAATGAATACTATCAAAAAAGAGTCTTGTCTTAGGACTAAAATCATGGATCTGCAAAGGATTTCACATCATTGAGTTATCTTCATGAGAATAACGATTGACATTGCTTTTTACTAGTATCTTCATCTATTTTCTTTTAAGTCTGTTCTTGTCTCTCACTCTTCATTTCAGAAAACAAAGTTCTTTTTCTCTCAAGATAAAATCTTCCTGGGTGAAAAACAGTGTTTGGGATTAATCTATTCAATATTTATCCTTTGGTTCAATGATTTGATGGAATACCTTAAATATCCACTACTTAAATCACCCCTTTAAATGTCCTCATTTTCATTTTGGGCGTGAAGTTTTTCTATGATGAAATAATAATCTTTTACAAATAGAACAAGCATATTTCATTTGACGAATGGGTCCATCAAGAAAGGTTGATGCTTTGTGATACAGTCAGCCTAGAAAGAATTTTTAAAAAGGTTTTTAATATTTTATATTCACTTGACAATTTAAAAATACAAAAATCCCTATAGTTTGTTTTTTTTTTTGGTACTGCGGATCGAACTCGGGACCTTGTGCTTGTGAGGCAGGTGGCGGAACCACTGAGCTAAAGCCCCACCCGCCCCTATAGTTTTTAAATGATAATTTTTGGTTAAATGTTCATATTTCACTATTACAGCCTAATGGGTAGCCATTTTTGATCAGAATCATTTTTTACTACAGATATTTCATACAGAGCCTCCTGCTTGAAAAAATAATCCTAGTATTACTTAGTAACTTATGAAACTTGAAGAAAAAAATTTTAAATTAATGAAGCATAAACATTTTTATTCCACTTTATACACCTGAGTTATGACAAAAATAAAGAAGACAGAAGGGACAAAGAGTAAAACTAACATCATCACACATTTAAAACATGTACAATCCAGCCATATAAAATATGCATAATATTTTCCTAATATAGAGAAGAGTATTCTTTTAAAATATACATTAAAAGTCTAATTCTACCAAAATATGACTCCTGACTTGCTTTACTGATAAATCCGTTTAGAAGACTAAGGAAGCAGGAAGGCTGGACAGTTGGTTATATGGCCTCCAAAGAAGTACGATAATAGACCTATTATGATACGGACTTAAGAGAAAGTGACCTCATCATAAAGTATCTCTAATGGCAAGAAAGTGGACACTACTTACAGTGAAAAGACATGTTCAAAAAAAAAAGTATGAAAGTATATGACCCTACATGGCTAAGTAAAATGACTTACAAGAGACAAATCCTTCTAAATTTTATCTATGTACCCATAGAGAATTTCAAGGCTGAAAAAGTGAAACATGCTGTGTGACTGCTGAATGACTCTCTGCAAAGAAGTTAATGGGGCTAAATTAAGATGAATGTGACAGAAGAGCAAAAATACAAATATAGTGGTATTAAAAATAAGAAAAGCTCAGAAAAAAATCTGCTTAAAGATAAAAGCATTTAGAGTTACTTTCAAGTAAATCACTAAATTGTACAGCACTTGGTAGTTTTATAAATGTTTCACATACTTTATCTCTTGATACCTCCTTGAAAGTTGGCAGGGAAATACTACCATTTTTGCAGATGAGTAAACTAAAGCACACGTGGTAAAGCAACTTACCACATGGCTATGAAGAGGTGGAGTGGGAATCAGAACTCAGATTTCAAACTTTGTTACCCAGCACTGTCTCCACAATAACATACTATTTCTCAAAGAGAACAAGGAACTGAGAATCACTGCTCAAAGAGGATGTTGGTAAGGTTGAGAGATCACACAGAGACAAAATTGGTCAACTTCTATTTGCTTATCTTCTCTAACAGTTTTTAAATAAAGTTGCAGAAGAGCACTGAGAACTGAAACTTGGGCTTCATGAATACGAGAGACTGAAATGATTTTATAAGTTCAAGTCTTTGGGCCCAGATACAGTCAGTCCCATACAGCTAAAACAGTGAGCAAGTGTTGTCACAAAGCTGACTCCAAAAATGGTTGGAGAAAGACCTCAGAATGAGAGAAGTGATCGTGATCCAGAGATAGGCAGGGTTTCTTCAAGATTGAAGGCTGGAGAAGTGGGTGAACAAATTTCAGAAATTAGATAAACTAATAAATCTTTAAGACAAATCTGAGAATAGATTATGAAGCAAATGGTTCGTGAATAACTAGAGAATATAATGATCATTAAATGTCAGCCTGAATTTAAACAAAAGCAGTAATGTCAAGTCCATTACACTTTCAACTGGGAAAAGAGTATTAGACTTCTTAGATAAAAGAAAAGTGTTACATCCACGGAACTCTCAGTACCTGCCAATGTTCTAAGCACTACATATTATCTCATTTAATCCTCACAACAACCCATTCTAAGGTTGAGGAAACAGAAGTTCAGAGGTTAAGATTTGCCCAAAATCACTAATTAGCAAAGCCACTGTGTGTGTGTGTTTGCAAATGCACAAGTCTTTGGAAGTAGGGGCAGGTATATTCTGACAGGAACAGTATTTGGGATGGCTTTCCATCTACCTGTAAATATGTTGCTCAAGGGAGTCGGGAGTTAGTGGAGTTGGGAAACTATGTCAACTTAAATGAGGAAAGCCTTTAGGGGCAGACTTTGGAACTCTGTGCTTAGCCTTATTTACTTATTTTATTATGTGTGAGGTAAAAACACAAATGATATTCCTTTAGGTGGAAGTAATCCGGGAGAAATAAACTAAAATTAAAGTGAAACTTGACAAAGATAAATGTAAATCTTTCCATTTAGTTTCATCAAGTTCAACATGCAACAAACAAATGGGGAAATGCTGACTTGGAAGCTATTCATGAGTGTGAGTTATGAACCCAAGAGCTGTTAATATAACAGGTGACTAAAAGAATCAATGCAAATGTATATCCTCCAGGCACTGAGAATCCTTCAGTATCAATCTGTGTATTCACTTTAGTCGGTTTACATCAATATTATGTTTATTTCAATGGTCTACATTTTTGGAGCTATAGATTTTTAGATTGGAGCAGGGAGACACATATACAGATACAGATGAAAGCAGCATATGATAAAAAATTATATATGCTTAATAAAATCAAGTGGCCTTCAAATATTTGAAGAGGTGTTAATAGAAGAATTGGTTTTATTCATTATTACTGCAGAAAGTAGAAGATGACAGCACTACTTACATATATCACCAATATGGTAAGGACTGAGCTCCTGCACATTAAGTCCCTATCTATAACAGTACCTGGCATACATTAACTGTTCAAACTGTTCAATAAGTTTTAGCTATTTTTACAGTAATTAAATAAAAGAACAATTAAGCCTCTACTTTATGCTAAACTCTCCAAGTGAGATATGATCCTTCATTAAATCTTTGTACTACTCCCAAGACATTTAACTGTTTTACAGAAATGGAACCAGAGTTTTTGACTAACCACAGCTACACAGATAATGTGATGGAAACAATTTAAAATGCCCCCAACTCCAAATCCCTTGTTCTTTCTACTATTTCTTTCCACGCTGAAGAACTTAACAATTGAACAGGGTGTCTCATTAGAGACTTTGTAATGCATCTAACTTGAGTAGCTGCAAAAATCTGATCTATCATAATAAAGTAGTAAAATATTTATGATTAATTCTGTATGAAAGTCAAGTACTTCAATACATTATATTGCTGTATTACATAGTAATAATTTGTTTTGATGGGTATCTGCCCATGCAATCTCTATTATACCAATTAATATTAACCAAATAACAGTAATTGTCTAATACAGTTGACTAATTTACCAGAATTAGTGATAACTTCATAATAAGCTATATATAATTTTGTATAAAAGTGATTTTTAAAAGTTTCAGCATGAACACAAATATAGAAGATGTCATATTAGTTTTTGTACATTCATCCCATCTGTTTCCCTTCTCCTGATTTTATGTTATTTTGATTTTCTCCATAAGATGCAATAAAATGTAGGACGCAAAATACTAAGACTAAGTACTGAAAGAAATCTAACAATTCCATATGAATCTTTGTGTGTTGCTTAGTTTTCTGTCTTTAGGTATCAATTAGAAAACTAAAAGAGTATATCTTATGAATTTATAAACTGTCTCACCAATGAGAGGTTGTTTCTAACACTTATGAGAGAGGTTTCCAATGATGATATTGTCTACTTGGTAAGAATATCTAATATGTTTATTTGGGACACCTCAGATATTTTTTGGGAGAGTTATCTATTATGTAACCCATTCAAATGAGCTTACATATCCGTCACCACTGAAACTGAAATTATATTGAATAACAAAGTATCTCGAGCCCGGTTTGCCCGATTGTTACAGAGAAGGTAAAACAAAGGCCCTGGAGGATAGGGGACTTGGCTGAGGATTAGTTTCTGATAATATCATAAGCTGATGTACTTCCTTCCCCTCACACACTTCCCCTCCCCTCATCACTTTAATTTCTATCTTAACAAAGTCTCTAATGAGGAGAAGCTCTAACAACAGCATTTTCATTCAATGAATAGTTACTGAGTACTATTTATTTACCAGACTGCTATGAAGGATCCTGGAGTTATACACAGCAGTGACCAAAACAGACACGGGCCCTGCTCTCTCAGCAACTCATAGACATTAAGCTAACATTTGCATAAATAGTGAGGTAATTACAAACTATGAGAAGCCATATAGTAAGAGTATACTAAGAGGACTTAATTTCACGTGGGCTCTCAAGGAAAGTTCTTTTAAGGCAACAATATTTAAGACAGTATCTTTATTTATTTATTTATTATAAATTATATCCACTTTTTATCTTTTTATTTATTTATTTATTGGTACCGGGGATCAAACTCGGGACCTTGCGCTTGCAAGGCAGGCACCGGAACCACTGAGCTAAATCCCTGGGCCTAACAAGAGAATTTTTTTTTTTTTGGTACCGGGGGTCCAACTCGGGACCTTGCGCTTGCGAGGCAGGCGCTGGAACCACTGAGCTAAATCCCTGGCCCATAAACCAGTATCTTTAGATAAGAAGTACTCAAAGAAATAGAGGCAAGAAGATTCCAAGAAGACAAAACATACTTAGTTATTAAATACTTCAAAAGGGAACTATTATTTAGCGTAGCCAGCGTTCTTTTTGCATTTAGTAAAGGTTAAAGTGAAGATGTAAAATGCTTTTCTAGCTGGCATATTTCCCATGACTCCATTACAGAGTTGTCTAGATTTAATTTAGTTTTATGCACTAGTAATACTAATGAGGTGGAGGGTTATATCTCCCATCCCCACACTGATGATGTACCTGTATTCTTTAAGCATATAAAAAAGCACGGGCCTTTTTCAATGCAATGCTTAAGTCTACATCCACATTCTGCCTTTAATAATCCTAACGTTTTATACTGTATACTGCATAAAAACTCAAGTATATTTCAAAAATCATATTTTGTAGCAACACCTACTACTTATGTATTTTTGAAAACATGACTATTACCTTAGATTAATACTCTCCTTCTTAAGACCTCTGCATTAAACTAAATTGTTTCCTCTGAAATTCTGTTCATCTGGGACAGTGACATTTGAATCTTAGTTCTTCACTATCAGGCAGAGTACTGAGAGGGAACATCATGTGTGCTCTCTACTCAGGCACTGAAAAGTATATCCAGTAATAAGATTAGACTGCCAGTCTGGCAATGCAATACAAATCTATGTTGAGCTTGATACATCTTCATCTTTGCACCAGTAGAATCTGAAATCTGATTGGCTAACAGCCAACAGACAATTTCTCACATATTTCCACTACAAACTAATCACACAAGTAGAGAAAACTTTTTTCTATGTTAAAATGAAAACTAAAATATGCCCTAAGTACCTTATCTCAATTTTTTTCTTAAACCACTGCTCCAAAAAGGCATTCATATAAAACAAGTTCAATTTGAGTTACATAATCAGAGACTCAAAGTATGATCAGCATAGGAGACTGAGATTATTAAATGAAATTAAAACTCATGATAGCAAGTAAATTTTCTTACATATTAAACTCTGAGTTCTGTACAAGTAGTTACGTTTAAAAGCGAGCAATTAACTCCATAATAGTTAATATTTTCATCAACTTAAAAAATGAGAAAACACCCCATTTAAGTGACCGTATATCCCTTTTTTTCCTGTACAAGGTGTTCTCATTCTTAAGTTATTTTAAAAACTTAGTATCTGAAAGATATTTATTAAGTTCTTTTTTGTGTGTAGCTGTGTTTGAACTAAAAACTACACACACACAGGAGGAAATGTCTATTTTAAAGTGGTCATCTGATGAAACCAAGAATTTATAAAAATGTGTATAACTAAAGACTTATTACTATCAGGGATGCTTAAAAAATTAGTTTCAGTATATATACCAGTCAACAATCTTGAATCTGAGTGATCATGACATGTGAAATGCCTGATAATTGGCATGTCAAACAAGAATTAGCTCAAGTCCACCACATTTACTGTACTACAAAGCAAAACCCATCATGAAGGTTCCGATGACATGTTTTAAATATTACTTTTACTAAAACTTCCCACTTTTTCCTTTTGGCTGAATTGCCATACTTGATCTCACCCCAGATTCTAATTGGGTAAGGAGTAAGAGTAAAAATGGCTTAGACCTCAGTGGGAGAACTTTGTGGAAACCTGCAGCAAATCCACAGGTATTCCCTGCCCTCTCATTAAAAGTTTAATCTCGAATAAGCAAAATCAAAATCGCTGAAAAAAAAAAAACCCCAAACAAACCACTGAATACAAAGTAAAAGCATTTGAAGAGTAATAACATTTTCTAGGGTCCAAAGTAGGGCATTTAAAAGTTTTTGTTTCATTTGTGGCTACACAGCTTATCAAGGCCATGTCCTACAAAGTAGTAGTTCGGGGTGTACTTATCTTTTCTAATCAAAGATGACACTGATGGTCTTATTTCCTGTGGGGATGGGTGTGGTTAAAAAGACAGTTACATCCATTGCATCAATCTGTGTGTGTAAAAGTCTGCCGGTCGCCTGTCGCTTGATTTATATTCATGCTTGCAGACGGCCAGGCCTATGCGTCTGGTTCCAAAGACTTGAAATAAAGTATCCAGCAGGCAGTGGAGCAGTATGTAGTTAGGTTTTTTTTGTTTTGTTTTGTTTTTTGCTCAAAGGAACAGTCGCACTCCTCAGTATTTCAACTTCCAAAAACAAAACAAAACAAAAAACCTCGCCGGGGCGAGAACTCTGAGCAACACGGCAACTTGTAGAACTCAAAGCAGTCAGGAAACCGGGGTGGGGGTCTGACATTCTCCAAGCACCATCTACTCACCCCTTTCCGACGGGTACAAAGCCAAGTGATGAAAAGAAGAAAAGGAACAGGCACATGCAAAACTCCGCACCCAGCGCGCAGCGGGTCTGCCGTCGGGAACTACGCTGGGGGAGCTGGGGCCGGGCGCGGTGGTTACTGCGGAGCGCGAATCCAAGCTGGACTCCGTGCAGACGCCGGAACTCAGCGCCCCCGCTCTCCCGGCCGCCCCAACTTCCCGCCTGGCCGCGGCCGCCGCCTAGCCCGCGCGCCCCAAGTCCCGCTTCCCTCGTCGCCGTCGCTGCCGCCGCCGCCGTCGCCGCGTGCGGGCGGCCGGGTGGGGGAGGGGCCGGCGGGCCGCGAGAACAAAGCGGTGGCGGTGGCGGCACGAACTTTTCCGGCTCTGCCCCGCGCCCCCTGAGGTGACTACTTACGGAGTCGGGCTGGGCAGTCCTGAGAGGCTCCGAGCCCGCTGGCGTCCGGGTCTCGGACAGGGCGCCGACGAGGCTTCACGCGCGTAGCAGGATCCCGCCCGCCGCCGCCGCCGGCGCCCCTTCCTCTCTCCCGCCCTCCCCGTCCCGTCCTGAGGCGGCAGGGCGGGGGGCCGGGGCGCGCGGGGCGGGGGCGCGCGGCCGGCGCGGGGCCTGCCGGGAGCTGTAGTTCCCCCGCGGGCCCCGGCCGGGTGGGGGCCGCGCGGCGAGGTCGGGCGTGCCTGGGGGGCGCGGCTCTGCACGCGACAGAGCGTGGACCCGCTTCCGCGCTTTACTCTAACCCCACTATATTCTACTGACACGCTTCTCTTTTGCTCTCCCTTCTGAGAGGCCAGAAGTGACAACTTGAACGCGGGACTTTGAGGGGTCCGGAGCGGAGAGCAGTGTGCACCCTGAGACACGGTCTCTGCCCCCCCCCCCGCCCTCCGGGTGGCCGCTTGGCACCGCGCCCGGGCGTTCCGCACCAGAACCGACACAGCCCGAACCCTTCACCGAGGGCACCGTGAACTGCAGTGGCTACTTTCACTGTTGTGCTTCCTCCAGGTCCATGAAGCCCTCGAGTGTGACCCCTAACCCCAGAGCGAAGTGTAGTGGGGAGGTGGTCTCCGAACCCAAGCTTCCACGTGCCCGAAACGAGGGTGGTAGTGTCAGGTGAGTAGGGCGGGTGGGAGTCGCTTAAGGGTCTCTAGAAGACATCGTGTGCTAAATTATAGATGTTTTATGTTAGAGAAAACGCTGTGCACCTGATAGCCGTTGTCACAGAAATAACATAGTTGTCCCGTGTCAACATTTCATCCCCAAAAGTACTTTAGTAAAATATTTTGAAACAGGCAATAGCCAGAGGTCAAGAGGATAGCTTTTGAGAATAGAAAGAAGATAAACCTAAGTGAGCCTCTACTTTTGAAGCCAAATCATCAATCTTAATGGATAGTCCTGGGTTTGAAATTAAGAAATGAGATTTTAAAACAAATTTTTTTGTATGATGGGGATGGAGCCTATAGCCTTCCATATGCTAAGCACAGATTCTACCACTACCTAAATTCGTAGCCCCCAAGAAATGGGAATTTTAAAATAAGTTATATTAAACATGAGACAAGTAAAATGGTGTATAATCTTGATCTATTTCTATTCTCAGGAATTGAAAGCTGCTGACATCCTGTAATATGTATCTAATTCAAGCTGATTCTTTTAATTTAAGATTGAAAGTAGATTCACTCAAGATTACCTTGTTTTTTAAAGAGCTCCCTTGTCTAACTGTGCCTTTTTTCCCTTTCCACTTCCCAACACACATTTAGTCCAGCCCCAAATACCCTTTTAGCAACATTCTCAGCACCTCATTGGAGCAGTTTTCAGCCAGTGCCATCTCTCTATTGACTTCCATTTCCTGATGTGATTTTTAGAGATGGAGTTACTATGCCTAGAAAGATGTTTTCTAAGTGAATCAAACTGCTAATATACAGAAATGTGTGTATGTGCAAGAGTATGTATATTACATATTTATATTACATTTCATTCCCACTGTTCTGCTTCTCTTTTTAAAAATAAAATTGTCTTTTCCACTTTTTTGTCTTTCAACAACACATTTAAGCATGACTAGCTTTGTACCTGTAATTGTTGTGCTTGACATGGACTGTAATTTCTTCAAGATGTTTCATTCCTAGTCTAAGGGTAATTATAGAGATAAGATTGGGTTTAATAAATAATGTATTTTATCCCTAAGAAAAAATATGATCTGAATGCCCAAGATGGGAAGGATTTTTCTTCTTAGTGATATTTAATGAAAACAGGATCTTATAGTCTTTCTCTTTTCTGGTTGCAGTTTCAAATCTTCCTATCACACCTTTAATACCCCACTACATGTACTTAAAGACATATCATTCATACACGTTACCTAACAAAAGCAAGAGGATCAACCAACTTGAGGAAATGGTCATTATTTTAAAATTGCAACCGGATTTAATTTATAGGATGTGGTTACTGGGAAATTAGTGTGTGTTTGTATCTTTTTCCATGACTTTGTAAGCAGTTCAGAAAGCATTTGCATGTCAATATACATTTGGTAAAATAGAGGAGAAAAGTCTTTAGAATTTATTACTTTATCAGCAGAGGTACACGTAATAGACTTCAGTTTGGATTGCTGCACAAACTTTTTAGACTAACTTGAACTGCTGTACCCTAGGAACTGACTTATCTGATTTGGAGGCTGTCCATAATTGTTCTGCCCTCTGATAACCCTTGACAGACAATTCTCATGTCACTTACCACATTGTATTGTGGATTGAGTGTATCAGATCCTCCTGGTTCTCTATCTGTTCTTTCCCCTACTGAACTTGTGAAAGACCATGTTTATTTTCATTTACTCATCACTTAGCACAGTGGTCAGTAAATTTTGGTTTGATTAGTGAATTTTTCCAGTATGTCTTGGTTATCTTAGCCTAATAGTCCTAAAATATTACACAATAGACTGCATTTTTTTCCTGCTGCCTGCTAAGCAGGTCCAAATTCTGCTTGGATGTAAAGGCTATTCATAATTCCTGTGTTCGTCTGACATCAGCTCTCTGTCAGGCACATCCATTTATTTTTATATGTCTTTCTGTGTTTATTCTGTATATTCCTCCTTTCCATTATTCACGCTTCTATTTAGCTTACAAGGAGCTAGGCTCCCTCTCACAGCACAGAAATTGCACTAACCCAGAGGAGCCCATTAAGAAGGAAAGAGTTAGGATGGGACTTTGAAGACAGAATCCACCTAGACTCATGCTACTTAATCTCACTAAAAACTGATCTCTTTGTATATAAAATGAGGGGAAATAATTCTTTACCTCATAGGGTTCTAGTGAGAATTAAATGAAAAAATACATGTACTATACATGGAGTGTAATCTGCTTTGTGTGAGCATAGGAAAGTCAACCTCTGTATTCTTCAATCTCCTCATCATTGGTTAACCAGGATGATAGTTATCTCATGGGTTGTTAAAAGGATTAAATGAGACAATGCATAGAAGTAGTTTTTAAAATGTCTAGCATTCAGAGAATGCTCAATATTATCATAATTTGTTATATTAATATTATTCATGTTAAAGAATTAATACTTTTATATTTCTATCTCCTGTCCTTTGGCAACATAGAGAAAGAAAAGTTGTTAAGCTTGATTCTGTGGAAGGAAATTTAAAATAACAAAAAGATGAAAAGAAACAGGAATCTGAAGGACCATAGAATAAATTCCTTTCTATATCATCAAGGAAGATCCTACTGCCATTCTCAAGTGACCAGTACCAGTTTACAGTGTTCTACTGTAGCATAAAATCATTAAAGAGCTGTATGTTTGTTGGTTTTATTCTCAATATGATCAGTTAGAATAGAATGACCTGAGCAGTTTACTGTAATTGGTATTCTGATCATGCCACCTCAAATTTCAAAACCTCAAGTATCTCAAGAAAGAATTCTGATTGTCTAACCTTAGACTCTGTCAGTTCCTTTAATGATGATGGCTAACTTAGCTGAAGGCTAATTGACATTAATTTAGCTCACTTGTTTTCTTCCTAGATTCCCATGAGACTTTTCAGTCTTTTGATTTATTGACTTACTAAATAATTTTAAGACACATGTGTGCTTAAATCTAGTTTGTTAGCTAAGATAAGGAAAATCTATAATACAGAGAAAGAAGAAAAGAAGAAAAATAAGAGACAAAATAAAAGGCAAAATAGAAAATGTCAAAGAAGTGTATCTCATGTTTATGGTGCTGTTAATAAACACTACACTGCCAATCATATGAAATTATAGCTTATACAATTAGGTACAGTACATAATATTTGATATTGATAATAAGAGACCATGTTACTGGTTTATGTGTTTACTACACTATAGCTGTACTTTTTAATTACTTATTTATTTTATAGTGCTTGGGATTGAACCCAGGACCTTACACGTGCTAAGCATGCGCCTTACTACTCAGCTACACCCTTAGCTCCCATTATAATTTTTATTGTGCTTTTAGAGTGTACTTTTTCCATCAAAAAGTGTAATGTAAAATTATATACATGTTTTGCTGGCAGCAGCCTCACTCATACATCTTATGTTTACAGCATTTTTGATTACAAAATTTTCTCTCCTGCTTGATTTAATCTCCTGTAGTTTTGTTCATCTTGGCCCTAGGAGCAATAGACTATACCTAATATACACCATGTAGCCTAGGTGTGCAGCAGGTGATACCATCTAGGTTTGTGTAAGTACACAATGACATTCAAAGAATGACGAAATTGCCTAACAGTTCATTTCTGAGAACATATCCTGGTGACACACAACTATATTTATAGGCTAGAGTGCATGTGTGTGTGTGTGTGTGTGTGTGTGTGTGTGTGTGTATACTACAAAGTAATAGTATTCTATAACTAGCTATCTGATTTAATAAACACATGTAATTGTAGCACACAGAGATGTGTGCAACCAGACTATTGTTTACCCACTACACCATATATTCCTCATATTTTGAGTCTGAAAAATCCAGAATAATATATTTTACTGGATCCTATATCTATTGTTTACTCATTAATGGCATCCATTTCCTACCTAAGCCATTGCCCAATTTTCTGGTTGATGTTTATTTTCTCTAATCTGAAAGTGGTATTGAAAGGAGACCACTTTGCCTTTAGCGTGGAATGAAAACAGTTTTTATGTGACCACTCCCCTTTGCTTGTAACATTTCCTCCCTGTCCCCTTCCTAA